TAACCACCGAACCACCTTGCAGCCCAATCATACAAAATGCAGACTAATAATGAAAGCTGTTGTTGAAGTATGAAGCTGCAAAAGTTGCATCACAACTGGAGAAATAAACGATGTTCAGCGAAGTCGACCACCTCTGAACGTAGCACAGAGGGCTGAAGGTTTTCAGTGTATTCTTGTGTCAGATATATTTCTATCATCATACATTTTAACCAAACATCACACCACTGCTGAAGCTCTGCAAGTTTCTGAATACTGGATATCAATGGAACACTTTAGGAAAGCTGTGTAGTGCCCACAGCTGTTACCAACAGTGGCTATTCCACAAATCCAGTCAGTGTTTTCTCTCTCTGCTCTGCACATCAACACTAAAAAGACGTTGCGTCATGGAAAATGACTGTTACAATAACTGGTTCCTCCGTGCACCGTTTTTGAACCGCGCTGCATTTAGTTAATCAAAGCAGTCTCAGTCTCTTTTGTCCCTCCACTCTGCTTTGTAAAAACACATCCTGCAGTTCACCTGACAACTCCCTGAACTTCTGTCACGTGACTGCTGGTCACTGCTGAGTCAGTCACGACTTGTCAGTCCTACCAAAGATTGCAATTTTTTGTTTTTTTCCAGATCTGGCGCCAACGAGTTATTTTTGAAAGAGTTATGTCGAATGAAGTGTTTTACATAGTATATATATATATATATATATGCTTGGACAAATTTTAAAATCCAATTCTTTCCGTCTTACAGCTTCTTTGTTCAATAAATAGTGTCACATTGTTGGTGATTTTGTGAAATAAAAAAATGTTCTCTTCTACAGAAAATGAAGACAGAAGTTAGAAAAACGCTTTTGTCTAAAAGATAATTAGGCTCCACTAAAGCAACTGGAGAAACAATCCATCCATCCATTATCTCTACACCATAATCCTCACTAGGGTCATGGGGGGCTGGAGCCTATCCCAGCTGACTCAGGGTGAAGGCAGGTTCACCTGGACAGGTAACCAGTCTATCACAGGGCTGCACTTAGAGACAGACAGCCAAGCACACTCACATTCACACCTACGGACAATTTACAATCACCAATTAACCTCAACATGTTTCTGGACTGTGGAGAGAGAACCCGGAGAGAACCCACGCTGCACGGGGAGAACACGCAGAAAGATCCCGGGTGTCCTCACCGGGACACAAACCGGCGACCTTCTAGCTGTGAGGTGACGGTGCTAACCACCGAGCCACCAGCAGCCCGGAGAAACAATCACAGACTAAAACACACAAAGCATTTGCACGTACTTTTGACCAACTGCTGTATTTTAGTTTCGCACCATGAGAGCAGGTATTAATCACTTGTCAGCTGTTATCACCTGAGAGTTTCCAGACAAACAGAGATATTTCATTCCTTGTCCTCTGCTTTCATGGGGAGTTTCTCAGCGTCACAGTTGATAATTTCAAAGTAAACCCTAGAGCATGAAATGATCTGGAAACCTTTAGGACGGGTCGCTCAACAGCGCTGAGGGCTGGTTGGCGGTGTTTCCAGACTGGAATAGGGAAATGAGAACTCAGGTAACATTTACCCCTTCAGGCAAAAGAGGAAATGTGACCATATCAGGGTTTTTTTTGGAGGTGTAGTAACATTTACCCAGAAGTCACACCTCAGAAAAACCACACTACACTCACTTCTGTCTTCAGAAAAAAGGCAGAAATTCCACATCAGTTTAAACTGAGAATAACCGGTTCTCAGTGCATTCTGTGTGTTCAAAATGAAGTCCACAGGGCGTAGAAGTTCTGTCTGGTTACTTATTGAACTGATTGTAAAATGGCACCAATCAAAAGTGAATTAATCACATAAACAGATGCAGCCTGGACCTTGGACGCAGCAGTAACGCAATAAAAAAACGACTTTAAATGACCTGCCGGACTTCTGACAAACTAAATGTGTCAAAATGTATATGTTTGGAGATTTAATTAACAACGATTTTCATTCTGTAATCCACCTTTGGTCTTTTTCCTTTCAGAGAATGTGAACTCTTGTGCCAAATGCCCGTCACAGGCGTAGAACCAGGTTCAATTCAATTTGGAAGATTGTGTGAAATCCTGTAGCCAAACGCACCATATTTGCTGGTTTATGGATTTCTCTGTGGATGTCTGCCCATTTCAATTAAATGCAAATATAAATACTTGTGGGTTTTTTTTTTCTTTGTTCCCGTCCTGCCGCTGTAACCTGAATGTGAGCCAAACAGTTTCATGTTCAAGCACAAACCGCTCACACAGCTTTAGAAAAGTCAAAAATGTCACTGAGCTCCACCAAACCAACCAGAAAAATGACTACGGGAATAAAAAAAACACAAAGACACAGACTTCTGACCACATGGTGTATGACTTGGTGTTCATCTCTAACTTAAATATAACAGCTGCCACTATTTTTTTTTTAACAAGTATATAACATTTAATCATTTAGATAAGTCATCATTTCCCCCTGCCTCTCATTTCTGAAGGAACATCTGATTGATTAACTGAAAACTGTTACACATGAATTGGATTTTTACCTTTTTTTTTTATTTTCTACAGACAGTTTGGACTTCTTTTATCCTCTTATTTTGTCCAAAGAGGAGACCAGGTTTAAGAAAACAAACTGCTGCTGATGAATGTGTCGCAATAAAGTTTTCTCACCAGTCGCAGTAGAAACCCCGCTGATCAGAAGGAGCAGGGTCGGAAACACGCCGACCGGCGGCATGGTTCGGGTCTCGGTCCACCGGTCAATCAGAGCGGAGGCACCGAATCACGGCTCGGACGGGTCCTGGTTCACGGAGCGGATCGACGCACCAACATGTAGCGCTTCTGGTCAGGATAGTTCCCACTTACACTCTTTAATTCCACAGCAAGGCGTGATTCACATCACTGACAGCTCAGCCTCCACTGAGTGAGTCACAACCGAGAGCAGGAAGCGCACCTTCGCTACACCTGAGTGACGTCAGTGGGAAGATTCCAATTTTCAACATAAAAGCATGAAGATAGTCCATCATCTATACACCGCTTAATCCTCACTAGTATAAAGATAGTCCATGTTTTTGTTAATACTAACTACAAGAAATTCCTTGTAAAGAAACTCATAATACAGCCATAAGTAGAATATACTAACATTTCTAAGACATATTACAGGATGTGTGTAATCACTGGAACACAGCAGACAGAAATAATAGAAGAGAATGCTTTTATTGTCATCATACACAAAGTACAACAAAATTAAAAGACAACTCCAGCTGTGCAAAATACAAGTATAAAAAATAGACAAATAAATGTATTTACAAAAGGAGCCAGTAGGAAGTATCTACAGACAGGAATGAGCGGTAGAATAAATATATTCTAAATAATTATAAAATATATTATAATGTATAATAATTGTAAATAAATAAAATAAAATAAACAATTCATAATTGAAATATAAACGAACATACTTAAAAATTATTTAATATATGTCTTCAAAACGTCACAAGATCGGGAAATTCTGGGGTTTTGTTGTTGTTGTTGTTTTGTTGTGCTGCCAAGTTTGATGTAAAAGTCAAGTTGGTGTTTGTCGCCACCTACAGCTTCAGATGTGCTTCTTTGCGTTGCATTGAGTTTATTTATCAGTGTTTGTCAAATACTGTGAAATCCTGTTAGCTGAAAGGTCCTGTACGAATAAACTCAACAAAACAATGAAGTACCAACAAAGTTTTACGTAATGTTCAAATTCCCAGCTGACTGAACTGTTTGTTATGGGTTATATTATTATATTATTTCATTTCTTTTAGCTTGAGCTGCTGTGACAAACCAAGTCGCCTCACAGCTCGAAGGTCGCCGGTTTGCATCCCGGTGAGGACACCCGGGATCTTTCTGCGTGGAGTCTCCATGTTCTCCCCGTGCAGCGTGGGTTCTCTCCAGGATCTCCGGCTTCCTCCCACAGTCCACAAACATGCTGAGGTTAATTGGTGATTGTAAATTGTCCGTAGGTGTGAATGTGAGTGTGCTTGGTTCTCTGTTTAAATGTGTATGTCTGTTTGTTAAGCACTGTGTGATGACATATGTTATAAACTAAATAAAACTGAATTGAATTTCTTCACTGTTGTATGTAAGACTCTGATTACTTCTTCTTCTACTAAAGTGTCAGTTGTAGCAGTTGTTACACCCAGAGAAAAACAAAATGTGGTGTCAGTCGGCGCAGTGGGATTACTGAGAGAGCCAGCAGCAGTGTCATGACAGCGCTGACTCTTCCCATGATCCTCCTCTCCACCTCTGCATGCTCGGACCTGGTCTTCTGTCCATTCAACTGGCCACGTGAGCCGTAATTACAGCCGCCTTCTGCACGCCCGGGCCAGTAATCCCGCAGCAACAAATCCCTCCACCCCCCACCCAAAGCACTGAGCATCCCGCTGGGTCTCTTCCAGACAGATGTTGAACCTAACAGCTGGATTGTGGACATGTTAGTGAGTTTCTGAACAGAGCTGCTGCCAGCATTGTCATCAGCATTTGGAATTCCACAGCAGAACAGATAATCCTATTGGTGCTATTGTGTAATGAACAGAAATATGCCACTGACTGGAGGTTTGGGAGAAATGAAGGACATTTAATTAGGTGCACTGTAGCAGAGACATGTAGCATTCAGTTAGCTATATTTTAAAATGCTTTCACAAGTCAGTATGAACAAACACCTGCCAGCCCCATTTACAGCCCTGGATCAATGATGCTGCTTTTTAAACAGCCTTGAACGTGTGCAGTTTTTACATCCCTGCAAGAACAATTGTTTGTAATGCTGAAGTAAGAGCTGTAAAGCTGCTGTTTTGTGTTTGCAACCTGTGTGTTAAATCCTGCCTTAAGCATAAATAAAAAGAAGTCAGAAAGGCCATCAAGCAACTCTTCTCTGGCAAAGCAGCAGGATCAGATGTGATCCCTGCTGAGGCGTACAAGGCAGGAGGCCCAGTCGGGATACAGGACCTGACAGAGCTCTTCCAATCCATGTGGAATGAAGGGAACGTCCACAGCAGTTGAAAGATACCAGCATAGTCCACGTCTACAAGAGGAAAGACAACCACCAGGCTCGTGACAACCACCAAGGCATCTCGCTCCTGTCGATCGCTGGGAAGATCCTGACCCGTATCCTACTTAACTGACTCCTCCAACATCTTTAGCAGGGTCTTCTCCCAGAAAGTCAGTGTGGCTTTCGTTTAATCCTCACTAGGGTCATGGGGGGCTGGAGTCTATCCCAGCTGACTCAGGGCGAAGGCAGGTAACCAGTCTGTCACAGGGCTAGAGAACATTTTGGATCATTTTGGATCATTTTCATTGCACACATTTACCCACAAGACGTCTCTGCCAAGGCCAAGCTATGCACAATGCAGTCTGACGGGATGAGATATCTCTTTAGGCTCCATCAGCAGTTTCATCTCAATGGCTTCTTTAAATCCCCTGATTGCAGGCGCATTAAGGATTTACACCAGAGTGTGTAAAGATTCTGATTTGTAAATCTGGGTTGAAAATTAAGCTTCAGCCCCAGTAGAGTCAATGAGACTTCTTAAGCTTGTGTGTGAAGTCTGACGATGACTCTGACGGGATTTTCTCATGTGATACTGGTGTAAGTTCTGCTCAAATCCAGGTGTGCAAAGCCTGTAGAGGCATACCCAATATACCCAATACTATAACTGGGTTTCTACAAAGGACTGCATCAAGCGTCTGAATACTTTAGCGAGTGAGAAACATCCATCCATCCACCCATCCATCCATCCATCCATCCACCCATCCATCCATCCATCCATCCATCCATCCATCCATCCACCTTCTAGCTGTGCTAACCACCGAGCTACCTTGCAGTCCGGAATCATTTCAACATATGAAAAATGATTTCCATGCTAATCCATCGTATAGATATTTAATCAACAAGTGCTGGCAGGTATTTACTCTCTCATGCAATAGTTCAATCAGGATTAATGTAAGGAGGCTGCATGCCAGCGACTGACAATAACAGCCTGACTCGTGTGTTTGTCCTTCTGTCTGCTTTAGGTTTTATTAATGTATACACGCACATTCAGGTCAGATGTTCGGTTCAGCCGGACTCCTGACAACCTGCACCAACCACATTCATTTCCTACACCCTCATGTGAGCGTAGTCATTGTCAATTGTTGTGGATAAACCTGCACTTTTAATGCAAGGAAGAATCAGAATGTATGTGGTGAATGACATTTTGCCCATGTTATTAGCAGGCGTTCATATCTGTCAAATACATTATGGTTTGCAATGACGGAGATTATTTTATTTTTACCTATTACAACTGATTTTATTCAGACAAGTGAAATACATTTTTCTGAATAAACATCTCCTGTTGGTCTGTAGTTTGTCTCTGTATGTTTGTGTGCATGTTTCTCAAAGTGATGCACACAACTTTGATAAAGTAGTGGGTAGTACACATGAACAATTACACTAATAGAGTGACAAATTAAACACCTGCACAGATGGCCAATTACACTGATTTGTGCTGTAGGGATTTGTTTTATGTGACTTCATGTTCCCTCGATATGAGTAACACACACACACACACACACACACACACACACACACACACACACACACACACACACAGATGTAACAGCTGTGTAATTTCACCACCATCAGTTTGTTTTTTCCTCGAGTGTGTTCCACGTGCCTGAGGTTTTGATGTAAAGAAGAGCTCCGCCTTTTTCTGTCACCAAGCTTTCCTGGCACACGACCAGCACACACACACACACACACACACAAGCCGCGCTCTGTCTGTGATATAGGGCAGCTGCACGACTGTAAATCCCATCATTGGCCTGAATCCTGCTGCTCTGCTGCATGTGTGGGCATGTGAGCAGCTGCTTAGCCCGCGGCCCCTCCCATCGCCCTCTGGCCCACACCACTGGGCACCAGCTCACACATATCTCACCCTCAACTCCCAGCATCGTCCTCCCCCTGGACCACCAGTCGTCCCCTCCAGACTCTCTGTCTGCTCCTGAAACCTCTGGACCAACAGCTGGACACTTCAGTCGATCACCGTTCACCGTCTTTAACCTAGAACCACACATCCCTCCATCCATCCGGCCACCTGAGCGTCATGCGGGTGCTACTGGAGAGCAGCTGGATGAGGTTTGGACCAGCGGGCAGGGGGTCGTACGACTGGGTGACAGGATCACCTCCAACGCAGGAGCAGCAGGTGTGTAGACGTGAGGTTCACCTCTTTAAACCTGACATATCCAGCTGGTAAAAGTTTGACCTACAATTTTTAAAGTTAAAAGAAGTGTTTCTGCCATGTTTCATTTGATTTCTGCTTGGGTCAGCAATGTTCCTTTGTGTAAATGTGATATTAAAAGCTAACCTGGATGATTTAACTGCACTGAAATGTACAATAATACCTTTAAAAGTATCGTATTTAAACAGAAGTAATGATATGCTGCAGGGCCAAGGAGCTGAAGAGTTTTTGTTTGTTGTTGAACCATCGCATCACATGACCTTCCTCAACAGATGCTGTTTGCCTGTTGTCATGGGAATTCTAAACACTTTTAGGATTTTGTTGTTTTTGTCCGTGTTGGCTGAAAGCTGAAAGGTCATTCCAGGGTTTGGATGCAGCAGATGGCATGTGAGTTGATCGAAAACTCCAGAAAAGTTAGTCATGAAACCTTGAGGGGCGTTTTCTCTGTCAGCTGCTGTTTCCAGGATCAAGAGCAAACTTTGAATCTCAGTTGGGGGTCACATCTTGAAGAGGACTCTTTGACTCTAGAGCCACTTGCCGTTGCCTCATACGCAGCCGAAAGCCACAGGAAACTTCAGACGTTGACACATTTCAGTGTGAAAGGTTTGAATTGCAGCGCTGTGTGTTTCAAGCATCCAGCACCATCAG